CGAGATGGGGTGACTTTCGTGAAGAGTACCTATGGTCACCCTATCTTGAGGGCTAGATCCTTTGCTCACTCACATCTTACTAATGCTCTCTCATAATGGATGTTGTGTCTGCTCTGTTACAGTTATCACTTGATCACAGAAAGCCTTCACAGCGTCCCCTTTATTATGAAGAAGCTCACCTCCCAGAGGACAATAACATCCAATCTCTCAGGCTGCTTTGTACCGCGCACACCCGAATACCTGGGGGGGGGGGGGGCAATTAACTCTTTGAGTCCCAGTGGGTTTAGCATCAGAGGCCCAAGGGTTAGTCAAAAGAGATGTAAAATCGGCGCATCTTGCGTTCATTGGGCCTTTACGGGAACCCATGATCGTATGATGCGTTCCTTGGGACTCAAAGAGTTAACAATACTACATACTGCTGATCTGAGTTTTCTTGGTTACTTTATTCTATCAAGCCAGACAAGACACTAAAATATATATATATATATGATTCCATGGTATCGGATACTATATCTGGTATTAATCCGAGAAGCAGGGCACAGAAGTTTGTGTTTTTAGAACTATTAAATTGGTAGTTCTTTATTCTTTTTTTATTATTATTATTTTTAATTTACGATTCTTTTTTATTTATTAAATCTTTCCGGTCATGGCCCGTGGGGGGGGGGGGCAGGCATTGGTGATAAACCACTCCACGACAAATGGTCCTGTCTCCTGCAGTGTCTCCGTCTCTTCCTTGGAGCATCCTCCCCCTGTCTCTACTCCGTTACTCCCCGTTTTTTAGTTTTGTCTATTTCTCGTTTTGTCCCACGGGTTCCGTTTGAAAAGCCTTTCGTCATCACACAGTGAATCACTTTGCACTACTTCCTTCTGCTACGGTCCCTGGGGACTGAGCAATAACTGCACTCGTGCACTGAACAAGGAAGTCGGTGAAACGAACCTATCATTTTCAGAGCACGAGGCAAAAGGTTTGACAACTTCACCATCGAGGCACACCAGTCACCCACCCGCACGCCCTAACCCCTAGAAGACAATCATATAAATACCTAGAAGACATGGTCATTGCCGTCTTAAGACAATAACGCAGACTTGATCTGTAATTCAGGTTATCGTATGAGATATTACACACAACCTAGTCTGTCAACGCATATCTTGCATGCAGAAAAGATGGTAAAAAGGGGGGGGGGGGAAATCAAACACGGAGGGGAAAAGAGAAGGGATGAGCCTTTTTTTTTAAAGTAAAGGTAGATCGATTTATCAGTTCGTCTCTCCGGGCTGATTGTGACAGTAATGATGATAAAAATGATAATGACAATGATAATATGGATGAAGTGAAAGGAGTGGTTGTGGGCAAACAAAAGGAGGAAGAGGATTTGGAGAAGACGATGATGAGTCGAAAGAATAGTAGGTGATGGCGGTGGAGGAGGAGGAGGAGAAGAAGGAGAAGAAGAAGATTAAGAAGAAGAAGGAGAAGAAGAAGAAGAAGAAGAAGAAGAAGAAGAAGAAGAAGAAGAAGAAGAAGAAGAAGAAGAAGAAGAAGAAGAAGAAGAAGAAGAAGAAGAAGAAGAAGAAGAAGAAGAAGAAGAAGAAGAGAAGAAGAAGAAGAAGAAGAAGAAGAAGAAGAAGAAGAAGAAGAAGAAGAAGAAGAAGAGAAGAAGAAGAAGAAGAAGAAGAAGAAGAAGAAGAAGAAGAAGAAGAAGAAGAAAGAAGAAGAAGAAGAAGAAGAAGAAGAAGAAGAAGAAGAAGAAGAAGAAGAAGAAGAAGAAGAAGAAGAAGAAGAAGAAGAAGAAGAAGAAGAAGAAGAAGAAGAAGAAGAAAGAAGAAGAAGAAGAAAGAAGAAGAAGAAGAAGAAGAAGAAGAAGAAGAAAGAAGAAGAAGAGAAGAAGAAGAAGAAGAAGAAGAAGAAGAAGAAGAAGAAGAAGAAGAAGAAGAAGAAGAAGAAGAAGAAGAAAGAAGAAGAAGAAGAAGAAGAAGAAGAAGAAGAAGAAGAAGAAGAAGAAGAAGAAGAAGAAGAAGAAAGAAGAAGAAGAAGAAGAAGAGAAGAAGAAGAAGAAGAAGAAGAGAAGAAGAAAGAAGAAGAAGAAGAAGAAGAAGAAGAAGAAGAAGAAGAAGAAGAAGAAGAAGAAGAAGAAGAAGAAGAAGAAGAAGAAGAGAAGAAGAAGAAGAAGAAAGAAGAAGAAGAAGAAGAAGAAGAAGAAGAAGAAAGAAGAAGAAGAAGAAGAAGAAGAAGAAGAAGAAGAAGAAGAAGAAGAAGAAGAAGAAGAAGAAGAAGAAGAAGAAGAAGAAGAAAGAAGAAGAAGAAGAAGAAGAAGAAGAAGAAGAAGAAGAAGAAGAAGAAGAAGAAGAAGAAGAAGAAGAAGAAGAAGAAGAAGAAGAAGAAGAAGAAGAAGAAGAAGAAGAAGAAGAAGAAGAAGAAGAAGAAGACAGAAAAATGAACTAGTCATAAATCGTTTTGTAGGGAAACAATTCCTTGTGTGGGTTCTATGCCCCCACGTGGGGGGGGGGGGGGGGGAGGGGGAGGGGGGATAGAACTTCTGCACACTAACAAAAGGTTGTTGCGTATCCTCTAGAGGACGTTGCAGAACCAACCCTAACAGCCCCTGGCTGTTGTGTGGTTTCTCTAGGCAAATTTACGTCCAGTAGTTTGCCATTGCTTTCTGGACGGTCGGCTTTCTTGATACCACTGTCGAAACCAACGCAAGGCGTATTGCCCGCAGCTGGGATCGAACCTGGCATCCCGGCATTACGAAGCGAAGTGTTCGCATCGACTTAGCCACAGAGCCGACGCACACTAACAAGCATGTCATAAAAATCGACTAATTTGGGTACTTTCTTCAAAGTCGGAGTGCATCTGCCTGAGAGGCGAGGAACCAACAGTCTGCTTACAAATGAGCACGTAAAGCCCAAACAAGCTGAAACAAGACTAATGTCCATAAGTGGACGAACAACCAAAACTATTCGCCGGAGTTTACAACAGGTGAGCACGAAGAATAAAATTTAAAAGAAATTAAAAAAAAAGTAAAGATCCCTTTACACGCCCTTAGGCGCATTGGGCATATGGGAAGAACACCCATATTTTACAGACCAATCTGCACTCGGTGGGTAATGTGGGCATAATTACGCCGAAGAATAAAATAGGGGAGTTTTAAGTAAGTCTGCCTATATTTTGCATCTCAAACATCCGATTGGACTGCTTCGTTGTATACTCCTATTTAACTTGGCAATAAGCCCGGCTGGCTCGCTAGCGCAGCTGGCTAAACCGGATCGGGTGACGAACTCCTTTTGATTCAGGTTCACGCCCTGGGGTATGTAGAAAAGCCACATTCATCCCAGAATGACGGTATCTTTCATGGAAGGGTTGCGATATCCATAGTACCGAGCCTAAGGGTTAACAACTCTTGGTTTCTAAATATTAAAACACACACACACACATCGGCAATGGCTCCGGTTTTGCCGGTGTGAGTGAAAACAACGACTGACAGGTACCGGAACCGTCACTGGCTCCGGTTTTGCTGGTGTGTGTTAGTATGCACAGTTTTTACCATTCTCGACGTGTGTCTCAGCTAGCGCAGTCAGTTGCACTTTAATATCTCCCTCCTCCCCTTTTTGTTGTTGGTTACAGTGGACTAAAGGCTATTTCGTTAACTCGTGTGCTCATTACATAGTGAGATATGCAGCTGAACAAGGTTTCACAGGTCTGCTGCTGTTTGATTTTCATCCTTCAGGTCTTAGTCCTAGAGGGATGCATTGACCAGCCATTGCAACCTATCAGCCATCATGACGCCATTAATTAGTAACAAGTAAACAGGCATTCTCCGTGCAGAGTAGCAAGCATGACTTCAGAGGTCCCGGGTAGTTAGCATCCTTTGGATATTTTCTCCTGGTCATGCCGGTGTGTTGGGAAATGAACAGTCAGAAAGATTAGCCAGTTCAGCACCACTTGGTGGTGAACCAGTGTATGACAAGCTGGATGTGAGGGCACTTTGGGAGCGAGTGAACAGTACGGAGGCACAAACATAAAATTACGGTCTGAAGAGAATGGCGCTGCGAGGAGTTGCAGGGACTCTGACCGAAGCTCAACACTCAAGGGAAAGGCGAGACGGATATATAATCACACAGTAATTTGTGCCATCGGAACTGGATCTCTTCGCTTGCTGCTGAAGATAGGGTCGGAGAGCTTTTTGGAGTGTCCCGAATGCTGTGATGTCGATTCTTCGGTGAATGATGAGGTCAACACCACGCCGGGCGACTTCACATCACATGATTTTACCAGACACTAAAGCCAGTAATTAATGATGATTTCATCAGACAACGAATTCCGTTATTGTTTCACACTCTCCATTCTCCGCTGTTTGCATCTTTGACGTGTCCAAAGATTCGATGCACTAACATTTACATAAAAGTGCGGCTTGGTGCATTCTGTATTGGCATGCCAAGGCAACAATCGGCTCAAGGAATTGGATAACAGCGGGAACCGGCTTGATTTAACCTATAAAGTCATCATATATATCTTACTACGGAAAGTCAATGTAATGTTTAATACTACACATTATTACTTAGTTTTCGGTATTTTTTCATTCTATCGGCGCCAGTAAATGCCAATTACTTTACAAATGTTTTGTTTTCTGTCTACATTTATTTCAACCGGTCTCCTTCAAATTTCAAAGTTCATATACCAGATTGTAAACTTGAAATTAAACAAGCCGAATCTTCCCCCTTTCGCAGATGATCTATAGATTTTTTTAAATTTTAACCATTGATATCTGAATTATAATTTATGTTTTATAAAATAGGTAAGATTATATGTATTTTATGATTATTAAATGAAAATGTCGTTTTTTTCAGAGTGGATGAATTGTTTGAACGCGTGAAGCGAAAATCCTGGCAAAAGCAAGCCCCCCCCATCTCTCAACGACAAAAGTCCCCACCGATAATCCGCTAACCGGGCACAACTTGAATCATTAGGCGTACACTACCGATTTCTACTAACTTTACTCGCCACAATGACAACCACGCATACATTTCAGGGTCTTAACACGGACAACAAGCCGTCTTCAAGGTATGTAGTTGTTGCTGCTTGGATTTCAAGTTTCAGGCAGTTTCAAGTTTGATTTTAGTTAAAGGGCCGTTTTCGGACTTTTCCAGTCCCAATTTTGAAGAATGAATGGCGGCGGGCTTTTGGGCAAGATACGGTTACCATCTGCAAACATTTTTAGATATAAAAAGAAAGTAAACGGCCAGTTTTCTCTTTGTTAGGCAGTAATAAAACACTGAGACGAAAGGCGAGAGGGACATACAATCCGTTAACTTAACCCTTTTAGCACGGGAAGTTTTTCAGAGTACTGAGCATTTTTTCAGTGAATTTAATTTGGTTATTACTTTAATTTTTTTTGACAGATTTCTGTTATTCTGACCCCCATGAAATAATATATCTATTTGAAGGATATAGATTGAAGTTCATGATTTTCACAATATCGTTAAAATTAATTGATGTATATGCAAATTATCTCACTTGCATATCTAAAAATAGAAAATTTGAATTTGAATTTTCAACTTCAATGCTTGAAACATAAAACTAAAAACAAAGATTTCGGTACTCCTGTCAAATCCGGACGAAGACTAAAAAGCCTTGGACGAATTAGTCAGAGTTCTCTCCCGTGGCCGCACTCCAAACAGTGATCGGAAAAGCCACAACGAAACAAAGAAGACAGTGACGTCGACATCAGGGCTGCCAATGCTTGGTTGTTTCCCCCAGATCTGGTTTTTTTTCGACGCTGCAGGACAAATCTGTTTTTTTTTTTGGGTGTGTTTTGTTTGTTGGTTTTTGCCGATTTGTATGCTTTAATGATCGATAAATTTGCGTGGTTAGGGGTAGGGGCTAGGGAGTAGAATTAGGATTAGGGTTAGCGGTAGGGTTAAGTTTAGCGTTATATTTGACAATTTTGACGCCGGAGTTCCCTATAATCGCGCACAGTCCCATACACACACAAACAATCGAGGGCCTCTGGATGCTAATCAAACGCACAGTTCGCCAACGATTGGGGGCACCAGCCGCACGCTATTGGCGTCATATTTGGCAGAGTTTCAGTGGCGCCACTCCCACAAACATCTGATTGTCGGCCAGTATTTCGAAATCCTACATCAAAATTTTCACATCTAACCCTAAACCTAACCCTACCCCTAACCCTACCCCTAACCCTAACCCTACCCCTAACTCTAACCCAACAACCGCATGATGATGACTACACAACCATTCACAATGCCTCACGAAACCGTACGCAGCCCTACAGGCAACCGCAGGATGATAGGTAAGTGTGTCGTTTATTTCGTTTGTTTTCCGATTACTGTTCGGAGTGCGGCCAAGGGAGAGAGCTCTGACTAACTCGTCCACGGCTGTTTATTCTTCGTCCGGATTTGACAGGAGAGCCAAGATTTCTTTTTTTTTTGAAATCTTTTTATTGATCTTTGGCCTTTTTGCAAATGTTGTAAGCAATTCAAGTCAAAAACAGGTATATATATATATAAGAAGCAGCAATAATATCTTTAGGTGACATGTGTTTTTGACCATCAGTCAGCACAAGAAATGGATGTGCCCACTGCCGGAGTGTCAACACCTTCGGGTGGATATACCCTGAGCCATGGTTGGGCTGTGGTCTGAACACAACAGCGTCCCCATCTGATTCCCACTATTACTACTAACACTAAATCCTGCATTAGTATCAACAGAATTAGTGTCATCACTTGATTCAAATGTTTTATCAACATCAAGTTTAGGGGCAGAAACATACGAGTCAGATATACTTTTAGCGGTTCAGGTCACTATCTAAATAATTCAACAACAATTTTCACTTCGATACCAAACACTCGAAAGTCGCCATGTGTAAAGCTGATACAGCAGTTAATATAAATGAATCACTTTCAGTGTTTCAAAATAGATTTCTTAGCGGTTCTAGGCGAAACACGATCGGGCCGATGATCGGCCGTTCCGTGTTTTTGGCCAGACATCCGCCGGCCGATAATCGGCCCGTCCGTGCTAAGAGGGTTAAAGTGACTGGTAAGTGTGACTGCCACTGAGCTGGCTGCTGAAGATGGTCCGGAGCGCTTATGGGAGTATCGTGAGTGCTGTGATGTCTGGTTTTCAACTTAGTCACCTCAGTGACTGTATGACAACACACACATTTCAGTTTCAGGGTCATAAAATTTTAGATACAAGAGAGTAAGTATATGGTTTGTTTTCAGGTTATTAGGCAGTAATAAAATGCTTATGGGAATGTAATTATAGGAATGCTTACCGTCTCAAAGAGCCAGATGGACAAACTAGAGCGCATACAGAACGCAGCAATGCAGGTCATTCTGAGTTAACCCAGTGGTGTGTATGCGATACATACTTGGGTTACCGACTGTTGCAGGTAGGCACAAGGTTCTGCAGGTGAAGTCATATCTCAGGGTAGCTGCAGACACAGAACACCCTTTGTACGAAGCTCTGGGTGCAGTTAAGGGTCAGCGGCTAAGAGGGAAGTCATGGATGGCTCAGGCAGAAGACAAAATCAGACAGGTTTGCATCCTTTAGAACATTAGGCGAGGAGAGGAGTGGGTCAAAGTGCCACCTGAACAGTCAGACTTTTGTAGGGTCATAATCACCCTGAGCCGGGAATGCAAAGACTGGCCAGCAGGTGCCACAGAGGTGGAAATTCAGCAATTAATTCAAGATAATGCTCGTTTAGAAGATTTGATAATTTACACAGACGGTTCAATGTCAAGAGGCAAAAGAAGTGCTTGGGGTTTCTTAGCAAAAGTTAATGGTCGTCGTTTGGTGCAGGAGAGCCTAGCATATGATACTACAACATCCAGCTTAAGAATGAAGGTGGAGGCGGTCACTGCAGCTTTCCGCTGGCTAGAGAACACAACACATCGTGATTGTAACTGACTCAGAAAGCATGCTGAGGAAGATCAGGATTGGCATGCTTTGTGCAGAGTGGCATGCCTCGCTGTGGAAGACACTGGTGAGGAGTATTGTCTGGATTTTTTCACCATGGTATGCAGGTGTGTTGGGAAATGAACAGGCGGACAGACTGGCTAGCTCTGCACAGCTTGGTGGAATACTGATGCATGATAAGATAGACGTGGTTAGTGCCTTGTGGGAGAGCTTGTACAGTTCGGAGGAGCAGATTGATCACCACAACGTGGTGAGATTGATGCAGTTGGAAGTGATGAGAGTTTCTGGCAGATGCTCGAGGCTCAGAGGAAAGCCAAGACAGACGTTTAATCAGAATGCTACTGGCACCATTAGTATCGGCACTCTTTGCTGGCTGCTGAAAATGGGGACAGCGCTTATGGGAATGCCCCAAGTGCCGTGATGTCGGTTCTCAAATCAAATCAACACCGACAGTAAGCTGCTTTTCTTAGATCTTGACTTATTATCTTAACTGTGGTATTTTGTTCTCACCCAAACACCAGTTTTTTGGGTTTAAAGATGAATGATTGGCCTGCCGAATCAGTGGAACTTTTCCACAGAATGTGAAACTTTTAGGAGAGAACTAAAAGTATTCCAGGGAATCAAAAAGTGCAAAAGAGTTTACTTTCTCCTGCACTCCATCTTCTCTCCTCTCCACCATCTGCAGTTTCTAAAGCCTGGAAGACTTTACTTCCCTTTGTCAACTTCCAGAGATCTATCCATGGTAAGGGGCTTCGTTTCTTAACCCTTCCAACTTCCTGTGACCGATCATACACCCTCCTTCAGAACGTTCATCACTTTCCTTGCAGTCTCAGGTTGAAATATCACATGACACTTGACCTGTGAGAGCTAATGCATCTGTGTCACTGACTCTACTGTCTTCTGTCCGAAACTTAAATCTTCATGGACTCTTTGCACTGGGCATCTAAGGCTTTATATATGTATATCTTGTAGAGATTCAAAAGCTGAAATGCGAATCTCAGATTTTGACTTTTTGTTTGCTTTAAATCTTTTCACATCGTAGAGAACATAATATAGTGTAACTAGCTGTGAACTACTGTAGATGTAGAATGTCCTTGCACTGTAAACCATGGGATCAAACAGAGGCACCTGGCTCCCGTTTTTCCATGTTTTGCAAGTGAAAATTTAAATGACGCAAACAGTACATTGCAGAATTTGTTGCCTGGCATATTTTGTTTGATCTCATCAAGTACAGTACTAAAAAAGACACATCAGTATATAAGGAAGTACAAAATGTAAATCCTTTTAACCAAAATACACCAATCACGTTGTGTCTTATGTTACATTATACATCGTCTCACAACAGTCTGTGTTTTAGTTATGTATTTCTCTATTCTAACAGTCAATTAAAAGAAATTCTACTGGGTGAATAAAATGGCAGAATAGTAAAACCAGCCAAAAATGTTGAGGGATCTGCAATGTACGCAACTAACAGCAAGAATGCATTTTTTTTAACACACCCTCATAAAGTGTTCACTTATCCACAGGGTGTTGAACCCTCCCGGGGGATCAAGCAGCAATATATTCGGATTTGGCGACCAACCCAAGAAGCAAGACACAGCTAAAAGCAACCTAGAAATTGTCACTAAAGGAACAAACGATGCTCTTACCCATGGCCCTCCTGCAGCAACAGCTGGTCCTCAGCAGAAGCCCGGAGTTCCCAAAAGCGGTGATGACTCTTTTCATACTCCTTTTGGCATTTATCAATCCTCAGGATATGATAAGGCCCCTAGTAATAATGGAGTTATCTCCGTGGCTGGCGTTCAGATCTCTAAATTGGATCCTGCTTTGAGAAACTATCCCCGTACTAAGTATAGTGACGCCAATACCTTTCTAAACATTTTCGGAGAAGGTGCGGTCCAGCAGAGAAAAATGTTTAGGAGAATTCACAGCATTAGTGATGATTCATTTTCCAGGGTCTTTGGTCAGAGGAGTCTTCTTGACTCTAAAGAAGGAAAAGAAGGGGCAGTAAATGCTGCAGTCATACCTGCTGATAAGCTTGAGAGCGGTGATGTTAAATCTGGACTTGCTGTTGAGATACCGATTAATACTAGTCAGTCCAATTCGTGTAACGTTAGCTCTAGATTTGACAAAATGAAGGATGATGGAGCTTTTCCTGTTGATCAGGTGTTTTTCAGAAATCCGGCTTTTGGTAAAGGGCCAGCATTATTTCGAAGACTGTCTCCTAAAAGTGGTATGGAATGTTAGTTTTTGGTTGTGGGTTTGAATTCTGGTTTGCGTTGTTGACACCACTGGTCTGTTAATATTGACCATTTATATTTCAGTTTGGATTGGTTTGTTCAAATTGTTTATCTGTTTTGTTGCATTAAATATGTTGATTCGACATTCTTGTAAAGTTGCTTTCCCTGTGTGGCTTCCAGGGCCCCAAGGGATTTGGGGGTATACCTACTGCTTTCCTGGCAATCATCTAGGAGGCCACCAATTAGGAGTGTTTTCTTCAAATTTAGGTGCATCTGCCTGAGATGTGAGGAATCAACAATCTGCATACAAATAAACCAGATCTGTAAAATGGATTTACTTGCAGCACTCACGTTCTAGAAAAGTATTAAAGTCTAGAAGTGGATGAACAACCACAGCTTTCTGCCACATTTGATAGCCAATGAATGCTAAGAAGATTTAAAATTGAATTGTACTTGTGTTCAGATTAAATTTTTTCTTAAATAATAGCAAACATTTTTCTCCCAGAATGAGGTCATATCCATATGGGCCATAAACTGGAATGTCAGCTCAAGGTCTCAGGTTTTCCCACAGCCTGGTTGTCAGATCTGCTGGGTGTGGCCACATGCACTTTCACAGTTCTTCTGGGAGAGAATCTTACAGGACATGTTCTGTAGTCTCTTCTGCAGGAAGACTTCATAAAATGCAGCATAACCCAAAGCTTTGTATATAGACCATGTTCACAACTGGCAGTCTGAGCACAGGGAGATAGACCCTATCTACCATCTACGCAGTATTTAAGTCAGGATATAAGTATATTTACTAAAAATGTGCGGAGGGTCTTGTGGACAAAATGGCTATGTTGAAGTCATATTGACATCATAATTTGCCCATAGCCTTAGTGACGGAGTCACTGTATAGGTCACATGACACACTGTTTAGGCCCAGATGAATTAAATCCTGTTGTAGTCTCCTGCAGTGTGGATGTCAGATGGGACCACAAACAACTGAGCACATTCTGCAGATCTGCCTACTGTGCAATAATTTAAAAGTACAACTGGTCCCAAGAGTAAAGTGTACAAAGCAGGCTGTGGGGTACCATGAAGAGCCTGCAGGTGACGTGCAAGTTCATAGAGGCAACCCCACCTGACGGTCTGACCTTAGCATTCAAAACCGAATGCAAAGAAGTTCAGTTAATTATTTACTCCTTTCATGATTGATTATTCTTCTTCATATTTTCAGCAAACATGTTTTTAAATATTGAAATTATAAAAATATAAAAATATATTTAGTGACCTTTGTGACGTTTATTTAAGGAGTTTCCCCTCAAGAACTGGACTTTCTGTTCTCGAAAGGGTTAGAATTTAAAATTGTCTGAAAGTATCCTTTTATTCTCCAGCATTCAACCCCATCACTGGCGAACCTTACGAGCAGTCCAAACCAAAGCAGGAGACACCATTACCAGCCGCGGTGAGTAGCTCATTTTGTGGTGTGATTTCCTTTTAGATGCATCTTCTGTGTTCCTGGTGGGGAGATTTTAAGAACCTTTGCAGCTTGTACATTTCAGAAAGAATTCACATCAGGAATACAGAAGATATAACTTCTTGCAGGATCACTCAGAAGATATAACTTGCAGGATCACTCAATATATAACTTCTTGCAGGATCACTCAATATATAACTTCTTGCAGGATCACTCAATATATAACTTCTTGCAGGATCACTCAGAAGATATAACTTCTTGCAGGATCACTCAGAAGATATAACTTCTTGCAGGATCACTCAATATATAACTTCTTGCAGGATCACTCAATATATAACTTCTTGCAGGATCACTCAGAAGATATAACTTCTTGCAGGATCACTCAGAAGATATAACTTCTTGCAGGATCACTCAGAAGATATAACTTCTTGCAGGATCACTCAATATATAACTTCTTGCAGGATCACTCAATATATAACTTCTTGCAGGATCACTCAATATATAACTTCTTGCAGGATCACTCAGAAGATATTCTTGCAGGATCACTCAGAAGATTTTCTTGCAGGATTACTCAGAAGATATTCTTGCAGGATTACTCAGAAATATAGTTCTTCAGTTCGCTACAAGCAGTTATCAGTAAACAGTGACAAGACAACACAAAGAAAGCAATAACTATATAAGATCAGGGCATTACAGTATTGCATACATGTGATGAAAAAAAAGCAAGCAAAATGAAACAAAATATATGTTTAACTAATGGAGTATCTGCTGTACAATAACCATTGTATCCTATTATAGGATAGGTTAGATGGAATTTGGAAACACAAAATGTGAAGCTGAACCTGTAACTGATTGTTGTGATGGAAGGGTAACTGAGGAAAGCTGTAAGCCTTGAGTTAGTCATCATGTCTAAACACAACCTCGTGTCTCGTTTACTGTTGTTATTGTTAGTAATTTCTAATACATGTCTATCCATGTCGTAGTGCCGGCCTGATATCTTCACTCTCTGCTTCTGTTCTTATTATCACAACATACTGAAGTTTTCCCGTTACTCATAATTTTGCCTCATGAATTTGGATTGTTCTTGTCAGGGGTGGGTGATTATTTATTCACTTTAAAAGACTGGCACATAGTGGTTTACAGCTAGGCTGTGAAATCTGCACCTTTTGGCCCACATCTGATTTCAACAAATTCTTAATTAGTCCTCTTTCACAATATGCTTGTTAGCGGGCAGTGGATCTGTTGTTTTCCTTGCAAAGATGGGGCCCTAGAACCCACTTAGGGAGGTCATTCTGTTTGAGTGTTATTTGAGGAAAGATGCAGAAGAATGCATCTAATTTCCCTATATCGCTTCAATGTTTCAGATACCTTCAGAAAGCAAGTCTGTGGTCGAATCAACCAGTGTTCTAGAATCTACAGGAGCTGTAAACATTGCAGAGCCAGAGCAGACTCCGACAGCGGCAGGGCCAGCGCCAGCCATACCATCGTCAGCAGTTCAGCAGAAGCAGCAGCAGAACGGGCCGTTTAGCATTGGCGTAGCCGAAGATGTGAAGGAGCATCGGTCAACTCGAGTCACCCAGCCTCCAGGGGGACGCTCCACAAAACTGTGGTGATCAGGCTTGTTCTTTTTAGTTTATTTTTCGCCCCTTGATAACAGAAACTGGTAAGGAGGATTATCGGGAAACAATTTGGTTGTGTATACTTTGTAATCAAATAATTGGTGCACTGTGCACTAAAATAAACGGGCTTGAGTCATAACACTCAGTATGTTAGATTATGGCATAAATTTTTTTTTGTTTGCCTGAAATAATTCTCCGCATCTACAATTATGTCTGTGGTATAAATTTCACTATATTTTTAGTTTCTTCACTGGTCCGTTTGGTGTACTTTCCATTATTGTCCTTTTTGGCGAAAAAGGTTTACCTCAGTGTGTTGTATTTGGGGCAGTCTTGGGGTGTGTTCTGCTGTTTGGGGCAATGTTACACTTGGCAGATACACCAAATGTTGAAGTTTGATGGCATACATTTCTGCATGCTTGGTCACTCTAGTACTGAATATTTGTACTAAATTGATGTCTAACATTTTTGGGCACCACTCAACTCACTGCAAAAGTAATATACTATTTAGTCTGCTCTTTCACTTGTTTTTCCTATAGTATGTAACATTCAGAACAGAAATGGGAGAAAAATTTAATAAATTAAAGCTATAGTATTTGTACCCATTTTAGACTTAAACAATTAAATTAGTTAAATAAATCAAAAGGTGAAAGGTTTCTTTGTACCTAAAGAGTTGAAAGTACAAATCTTTGAGTTAGAATAAAAGCATGGGATAGAAAAAGTCAACTTTGAGAACTCAGAACCCAATTTAATTAAAGGAAGCTCAAGCATTGGTCAGATTATAGTTAGGTGCCTTGCTCAATTGCACCAGCCACAATATTCCACCAGAAACAGTGGAAATAGACACTTACTAATTACATGACATTCTAACATTGTAGGGGTGAAAACTGTTTGACATTTGGCTTTTTTTTTTTCTTTTCTGTTTCATAATACAGTCATTGATTTGTATCTGCATATTTAATTGAATTTGGGACTCTCTTGGGTAAAATATAAATGAAAATGTGCATTTTGTTGTTGAATTTGTTGTTAAAATGCTGCTGATATGAAGAACAGCAACTGGAAGAATGCAAAGAGAAGCGAGACAATCATAACTTTATTGATGTATTTCTTGATAATGTTGTATAGCCCTCCCCCGACTTTGAATATATTTCCTACGGCAACAGAGAGGTTGCTACAATGACCTTCGGGTCTGTGCCAGATTTTTAAATACAGAGTGAACCTATTGGGCATATATTTAGGTGAACTGTCAGATAAGCTAATGGAGGTCTGCTGGATAAAATGTTAGTGCCATTGTGGGTAAAGCTTTATCAGGCTGTTTTAGTGTTCCTAGGAATTTAAATGTGTGTTTTAAAATAAATTGTGGTAAACATGTTGGAGAAATAACAACAGTAATACAAATGTGGGAGAAATATCTGAACAGCAATAAATGTGGAGAAAGGTTAAAATAACACAGATAAATATTAGTGCAGAGCAGTAATGTTACAGAAGCATTGAAACTAGCAAAATGTTGATGTCCTTCCCAACCCACTTCTTGTCTGTTTTGTGTGCATGATCAATACGTGTCTTATCTCTAGATGCAGATATGTGGTCTTTTACATTAAATCTTGATTTGTAATAGTACTTTACTGTCACTGTGTGGCTTACGGGCTAGTGAATGCATTCACAATTTCACAACCCTCAGACTACCTGGGTTTGATTTCTGCGGCAGATGATGTAGAAAATAAAAACCTCTGACATGCAGATTTAATACAGCAGAGGTTTTGTTACCATCACATTCCCAGAGGCAGCAGTGGGTGAACTGCAGCTAACATTAATTGTGGAGACACACATAATTGGTTTTAGTAATCTTCAGTAGTTTATAAGAATGAACAAGACATTTTTTTTTCTTCTTCTTCAATTCCTCCTGTTATTCATCAGTCTTTTGGGGATCTTCAGGATGTAAGGATCTTCTGTGTGCTCTTTAAGATGCCTTGTATAAGTTTGTCTTCATTTCCTTAATGCTGTTTTTGATGCCATGATTTCATATATGTGTGATCTTCTGTATGCTCTGTCCATATATTATCTTCAGCACGGCTCTCTAGCAATTTAAAAGACAAATTTATATAATTATCTTGGTATGCCCTACCTGGAGTGGCTTGATGGGCTGGATTGCACTGGTTCAAGTTGTGTCTAGAATGCGAGATGTTAATTTCCAGAAGTGATGGACTCTGGTTGTGAGTGAAGTGAAATAGATCATCACATTTTTTATAAATCAAACCACACGCTTTTATACTTTTTACTATTTCATATATTTTTATATACATACATATTATGTACACGTTTATAGCAAATATTAACATCCAAGAACCTTTATCTGTTTTGTCAACAGATAAACTACCATCAGATTTAAAGATAAATAGTTCTTGCAAAGTTTCCAGGTATTGCATGGGCACAAAGAAATATTTTGTAATATGAACATATGGACATTTTTATTTTGTCACACAGCCAAATAGGAAACATTGTTTTGTTGCACAGGCACACGGGTAATTATATTTGAACATAGACGCAGAATTTATGTTCTGTCAGGTGGGCACATGGATATTTTATTTTGTGGTGCAAGTACATAGCAATTTGATTTATTAGACGGGCACAAATGTGTAACCTTCGTTGTGGGCCCTGTTAATTGCAGTTTGATATACACAAAATACGCAGCCATCCCTCGTGTACTGTGAGGAAGAAAAACCCATGGACGAGAGCGAAGCTGGCATCAGGTATTATGGTCCACTGAAAGCCTTGCATGCTTCCTTGATGCATCGCTGAGGTTGGGATTTTTTCTTCTTTTTCAATAGGACAAGAAATTGCGATTCTCTGTAATTACAATGTGTGGGATACTTCGTTCCTTGGTTAGCATTACGTTTTAGTTGTTTGCATAGAAATAAATATTTCCTGTTAAAGATCCCATTACTGTTACACAAAATGTGCTGGGGTGTCTCAGAAAATAGAAATCTGTTTTACTGTATCTTTTGAAACACATTTGCTTTTCATGATGACTGTCTTCTCTTCAGAGCATACAGCTTCAGCAGGTTGTAATCAATCAAAAAGGGTTACACCTAAAACGTTTTGTCACTTATGAGCTGTAATATGTACACGTTTTGTTTTTGAGACACCCTGATTATTTGATTAATCCAATAAAGCAAAAATGTGTGATTTTAACGGTAAATATCTTTGGCACTCGGTCCTTTTTTGCCAAATAACCTGGAGTATTATTGAATAACAGAAAACCATGGATATTGTGGTTTATTATGCTTATTATTATGTTGTATGCTGCAGATTCCAGCTACACAATGATGGAAGTGCCTTTATAAAAGACTTTTTTACAAGCGCATTGGTTTTGTTTGTGTTAATTTCCAGAGATTTTCTCATGCGTGTTGTGTTTTTATACGTTGAATGATGATGGATCTGAAGTTCAGGTAATTGCACTTTCAACATTACAGCAAATGGGTCACTCTTAGTTTGCTCTGTTCCTGTGTAAAAAAGTTGACACAGGCTGCAGTCTCAGCAAAGCCAGTAGCATGCACACACATTAAATACATAAGGCAGCTGTTAGAAGTGTCATCACTAGAAGTGCGGTTCATCTTTGATGAAATCAGCATTTACAACAGATCAGTAGTTGCGCATGTAATTAATCACACAAGGCACCACCATTTCTTTGTCAACGGGCCACTCACCATTTTGGGAATCTCCTGAGCCTGAGGATGTAGGACCACATGACTAGCGCTGGATGTTGAAAAACTCCATCTTACAGGTTGTCAATCTTGGATCACCCGCATGAGAGCTCAACCAGTTAACCCCTTCCCCCGATGGTTCCACTTTTCCCGCTCTGTACTGGTTTTCTTCACATGGTTCTGGTTCCCCGCTCTGTACTTGTACTGATTATCTTCAAGTGGGTCTGGTTATCTGGTCTGTACTGGGATTCTTCAAATGGTTCTGGTTCCCCACTCTGTACTGGTATTCTTCAAATGTTTCTGGTTCCCAAGTCTCTATTCCCCCCCCCCCCCCAGATAGTTCTGGTTCCCTTCTCTTTGCTGGTTTTCTAAAATGGTTCTCATTCCCTTAGGTTATTTATTTTTCTTTAAATGTTTCTCTCTCAGCTATCACTTGAATTTCATCAATTCCAGAAAACCATCTCCTCCTGACTCAACCTTCTTGTTTCGGATAAATTAAAAAGATAATAAAATTGTAAATTTGAACAAAAAAGGATCAAGAGATTGCGTCATGTGTTTTCCATGGCGTATTTCAGTTGAAAGAATCCATCTTATTGTTACTGTTGTATAGCAGCACATGATCTCTACAATACTGCCCAGCTTATGTGCTGTCGAGAGGAGGAAGTTTATCCCCGGCCTTAATTAGTATCACCATGGACTTTTTCCAACCCCTTCTCTATAGCACAATGAAAGACTTGTCTGTAGGGACAGAAAAGTGCCATCTAGCAAATAAACTGTACTGTGTTACTGATGAGACACAATCTGTTCGTTGTGTAAAAACTGTTACTACTATGTTTTTTTTTTTCGGGGGGGGGGGGGGGGGGGAGGCACTAGACGGAGGTAGTATGCCTGAGGATTTGGGGAGCCGCATGGCTAATGCTGTCGCCACAGATTGTGGATTAGGATGTTAAACTGTGCCTGTTTCCGGGGGTTAAACCTGGGTCTCCCGCAGGAGAGCCTGATGTTCTAACCATTCAGTCAGCCACTCCTCCATTGTGTACTTTTTTTTTTTTTCATTTATTTAAAGAGATGGTGAGAGACAGCAGTGTCTTTATGATGAAATCATAAAGTAACCTTTATTTTGATCTGTGCCTTTAGCACATCGGCCATATAGTGCTAGACCTATATTTTTATGGACCAGTCAGCACATAACAGGTAATCTGGTCAGCATTATGCTGGCCCGCCTTTACTTCCCAGGACATTACCCACCTGGTATCCATTTTAGACTGGGTTGACCAGTTGACCAAGGTCAAT